TAGCTCTTTGTGGTTTCTTGGGGTTCATTCAGGAGTTTGTGTCCTCTTTAATTTCAATGCATAATTATAACCAGTCTTTTGAATTCTACGTCTGGAATTTCATCTTATTCGTCCTCATTGGGGCCATTACTGTGGGATTGGTAAGTTTAGGAGGATACATGTTGTCTTGGTTTTTCATGCTTTTTGTGGTTTTGTTACTTGGCCACCCCAAGTTAGGTCACTGGTTGATTTTCCTTTTAAATATAAGTCACCTTTATTCTTTCAGTGGAAGCATTTGCAATGTTTGAGTAAGACTAGGCTGCAGTATGGTTGAGGTGCCATTTTCCTCTGTAAGGCTAGTACTCAGGGCACCAGGCTTGATCCCCACTACCTCCCTGAAAGTAGAATACTGTCTGCAACAATGGTCACTATCCAGGTGGAAGCCCACTCTGGAAATATTATAACAGCCAACTAAAAAACAATCACCTCTTAAAGGTCAATCATTCACTGATAGTGCTGTATGTAGTAATATATTAGTTACTGTGGGTATGAGTGGAAAGGAAAAGAAAAGAGATCAGACTAAGGATTAGTTGGGGTGACAGAGCAAGCAGAGGAGGGGAACAAGAAAGAATGGTGGGAACAAGAGGTGTGGAGACCAGGGAGTTTGGGCTAAGGGGAGACTGAAAAGAGAGATGTAACCATATGCTCCTCAATAATGCAGATAAAGTAGCAAAGCCCCATATCTCAGGAGGTGGGAGGAAAATGAAAAGTAAGGAGTGGGGAGGGGGAGCAATGTAGAGCAAGAGCAGAGCAGGACCACACCGGCCGGCTACATCAATACCAGGTGTTAAATATGATGGGAATAGATGTGGAGAGGAGAGAGAACTGGATGGGGATATAGCATATGAAAAACACCTAGCCTGATTGCTGATTGACACATGAGTCCTTCAGTGTCCAATCTCTAGCTCCTATAAGCTTTCTCACCCTTGGCAGTTCCTCTGCAGTGGATGATCCTGTTCTCCTTCCCGAGTCTTTCTTTGGAATAGATGACAGATCTTGGTTCAGTCTGTGCATGGTGCTTCATGGGTGGAGCTTTAGATGTTGGTGCCTCTGGTCTTTCCTTCAGGACTTTGGTTGCAAATGCTGCACCCACCTCCTGCCCCGTGTAACCCTTCATAAAGCCCGGCACACTGTTCAGAGTCTGTGTGAAAGTGTCCCTGCAGACGCTGTTCCCACCAGGTTTCCAGCTGGATCGATGCTGTGTGATCCTGATTCAAAGCTTCTTTCCCTATGGCCTGGGAGTACTCTAGAGGATAGGTTTTAGCACACAATCGCTTGGGCTGAATTTCCCGACAGTGTGCTCACAGATGTCTCCAGATGCCCATCTACCAACACAACACGGGTCTTTTTGAAATGATGTCTAGCTTCTGTACTGGCAGGTGCCAGGTACCCAGTGCTAAGGAGTGAGGGATTTCCCTAGTGTCTCCTCTGCTAATTTTACCACTGCCCTTGGTATGACCATTTTTCCTAGCTCTTTGGAATGACCTGTTAATCTTCTGATAACTGTTTTTTCAGCTTTCCCCAGATTATTCCTTAGAGACTGTGACAAACCATGCCTAGGTGTCATCTGCCATCTTCCTGAATGTTCTATTATTTTGTTTTTAAGACAAGATCTCACTATGTATATCAGACTGGTCTCAACGTTGCTATGTAGCCCAGGTTGGTCTCCAACTCAGAATCTTCTTGCCTCCATCTCCTGAGTGCTAGGATATGGGCATGTATCAACATAGCTAGCTGAGATCTTGTTTTAAACAAAATCTGACTTAGTGTTATTAATTTAACACTTGAAAAGATACACACAGGGAGAGATGACAGATTAAAATAATATTTAGAGTTCTTAAAAAGAGAAAGTAGTCTAAAGAGTACAGAATGGAAAGTCACAATTCTAACACAATTATTGGCACACATTCCCTGAATTCTCTCTTAGATAAATTGGCTCCCAGTACCTCAGTAGGCCTGTATGAGAAAACAGACTGTCTGCATGGCCAAGGCAAATTTTTGTGCCAGGTTATTTCAGCCTTACTTAAGAATGCTACATTGCTCAAAAGAAGGAAAGAAGAAATGGCTTTGGAACATATAGTCAGATAAGTTTATTGAAAAGAAGTTCCTTGGAAAAATGTCTTTGAGAACCCTGGGCATTAAGTCTCAAAAGTTCTTACACTATCCCAAATCCACTGAACCCAGTACTTCCCAACTTCCCTTGTTCATGGAATACATACCCACCCTAAAACACCATCAACTTATAGTGAAAACAAACGCTCTGAAACGTGATGCGGAAACTCTATATTCTGTATAGAGTTTCACAGACTGACCAGAGAGCAATGGAGTTGAGAGGGAAGAAGACGAACAGTGCAAGGAGCACCCAGAACCTTCACAGCAAGTTTCCGCAAATCCGGCACCACAGGACACAAACCCCACCGGAACAGCCTCATCTCTTACCATCGGTCTACACCTTACCTTGCTATCACCCTACTGTCATATGCTCTTGGAAATGCAAACTGTATTCATGCTATGAAAGCAAAATCAGGCATTGGAGAAATGAATTAATAGAGGTTGTTTCCAACCCAGTTTTTGATGTCATTTTTTTGTGTGTGAAGAAATCCTTGCTTTATTTTTTTTAAAAATTTAACTGAATTTTTGCGATTTTCATACAATATATTTTGATATTTAGATTTCCCTCCCCTATCTCCACCTCCCTTACTGCCCCCCACCCAATTTAATTACTACCATACATAATATATATTATATATATATGCCTATAGAGTTGAATTTGTGTCCCCCAATGTCCCTCAGTGTAATTTCTCTTTTTTAAAAAAATTCTCTGCTTTCAGAATATTGGACTTGATAGGGATGGGTGGACAACACAAAGTTGGTGGGTAGGGAAGTGAGGTGGATATGGGAGGAGCTGAGGAGGGAGGAATATGATCAAAGTATAGCACATAAAGTTCTCAAGGAATTAATAAAAATATTCTTTAAAATATCATGAGTTTACGTCCCAGGGAACACTATCAATTTTTTGTGATAACCCAAATTTAGACATGAAGCTTTCCAGCTGAGGCAGGATAAAGATGGGGGGAAAATGGTGGGCCGGGGCAAGGCGAAGGAGCCCCTCCCCCAGGAGTGGAAGGGGAAGGAGCCCCTCCCCCAGGAGTGGAAGGCGAAGGAGCCCCTCCCCCAGGAGTCTGATTGAAGCTTCTTGCCAACTGAGAATCAAGAATTCCATAACAATCAGCATTCGCTCAAGGCTTGTCTTCCTTCCCATTGGCTAAACTGCAATTTTCTAGGGATTTCATCCATTTTATAATAAAAGGCATACCCCAAACCCCTTGTCAGCCCTAGTAGTCACTGGTTTTGTCTTGTCTGATTATAATCCCATCCAGGGTACTTCTAGAGTAACGTGATCACCTCATTTACTGAAAAAGAGGAGAAAAATAAGTTTCTTAACAACCCTTTGAGATGTAACTTGAAAGGCAGCAAAATAGTATGTAAGGCCGGTGTTAAGACACTTGTGTGTGACTCTCTGAGAAGCTCACTGTGGACTGTCTTGCTTTCTTCTTTGAGCACCTCTATTTCTCTTAACCCAACTTTAGCTGCTACCTACTGAAGCCAAGGGTCTAGTTTTACCTGAGTTAAGGTCCTTCAAATATTCAGGGAAGTCTATGACTGAGCTGGGCCTCCATCTCTACCACCAATGACATCACCCTCAACTCTTATTTATATTTTGACCTACTAAGTTTGTACCTAGTGTCCCCAGGTCAGCAAAAGGATCCAGAGTCTGGGGCTTGCTTTGGTGGGTGGGAGTGCCATGTGAGGAGCCTGTTGGGCTGGTGGCCGCTGATTTGCTTCCCATTCCAAAACCTCCTGAAAGGGAAATGAGACCAAGGAAAATGAGTTAGTTGCCTGAGGCTGGATTCTGAGATGCAGACTTTCAGATCTCTCTCTAAGACAAATCAGGACAGGGTTGGGAAATGTTTCAGAAGTTTCAAATTCTGATTTCCTGACTTAGGTGAGTGGTGACCTGAAGCAAGGATAAAACACAGAACAGGCATGTGCTCTTCCCTGGCCATACATGTGAACCATTATTTCCAATGTTTACCTCTCATGTCATCTGACTTCCCTCTTTCTTGTGGGATTGGGGTCAGGCCTGGATCGGAACTCTGGCCCTGCCATATCCTGAGTTACTTTGAGCATCTTACCTAACATCTTTTAACCTCAATGTTTTTAAACTTTTTAAGAAGGAACCAATGCAATGCCAAAGCCACCAGCAATAAAAGCAAAGAGTAGACAAACTGAATGGTAAAAAAAACTTCTGGATAATAAGAAAAATAGTCAACAGAGTAAAAAAAATGAACTATAAAGTGGGAAACAATATTTGCCAACCATGTATCTGATAAGGGACTTGACCCAGAGTACATAAAAAGCACCTACAACTTTACAATAAATTAACAAATGACTTCAAAATAGGCCAAGTACTTGAACAAACATTTCTCAAATGAAGATTTACAAATGACCACAACACATAAAGGGATTTGCAACATCACTAATCATTTGAGAAATGCAAGTGAAGGTGACAATGAGATTTCACCTCACACCTGTGAGGATGGGCATTGTCAAAAAAAGGAAAGAATAACAGCTTGGTGAGAACAGGAGAAATTGGAACCCTGTACACTATTGGTGGGAATATAAAACGGTACAGTTACTGCAGAAAGTAGTAGGAAGGCTCTTCAAAAAGTTCAAGTAGAACTCCCACCTGACTCAGTGTACACGTTTCTGGGACTATATCTAAGGACTATATCTAAGTCATGGCATAGTCATTGCACATTGTGCACGTCCACTGACAGCTGAAAGGCAGAAAAATCGGCACATGTGTACAGTGAAATACGTTTTAGCCTTAAAAAGAAAGAAAATCTGTTATGGGCTACAACATGCATGAACCTTGTGACATTTTGTGAAATGACATAAGCCAAATGCTGTAAGGTTCCACTTCTGTAAGGTACCCGCACAGCCAAACTCATCTAAAATAGGAGAGTGGTTACCAGGGGCTGGAGATAGGGAACTGAGAGCTGTTGCTTGGTAGATGTAGAGTTTCAGTCATGAACAAATTCTGAGCACATGTAGGTGACAATATGGTGCTATATGCCATATTGCCAATATGGCACAATATGCCATTGTATGTAGAAAGGGTGAATTTTATGTTAGGGCTTCTTCTCTTATTTTAAACCACCTGAAAACAAGAAAATAGCCAGCGCTTCAGAAAGCTGTCATAGTGCACTGCCTGAGTATCCAGTCGCCAAGCAAGAAGGAATATTTACATTCATTTGATCTCTAGCCTATGCCAGAAACTTTTTCATCCACACTGTTTCACTTAGACTGCTGTGTGGAATAAAAGTTGTTATTCCCATTTCACAGATATGAAAACTGAAGCTGTGACTTGTCAACAACAACAAAAATCCAAGAGTTTCTAAGTGTAGAGTTATAGCAAGTCCATCTACTTGCATTGTTGAGACAGATATTTGGCCGATGAGCCTTAGAAAAATTAAACAAGGACTGGAGAGATGACTCAGTGGTTAAGAGCACTGGCTGCTCTTACAGAAGACCCAGCCCAGCATCCACATGGAGGCTAACAATGGTCCATAACTCCAGTTCCAGGGAATCCAATGCCTTCTTCTGACTTCCACGGGCATTGTGCAATATGGGTATACTTACATGTGGGCAAAACACTCATACACATAAAATAAAAATAAATAAATAATTTTTTAAATAAGAAAAATTAAACAACATACAGTAAGTATCTCTGTCATGTCATCAAAAGCACTGGGAAAAGCTCTGCCAGAATATGGATCTTTACAAAGACCAACCAAATGCCAGGTGCAGTGCCTGCCGCACACCTTTAATACCAGAACTCAGAAGACAGAGGTAGGTGATCTCTGTGAGATCAAGGCCAGCCTGGTCTAATAGTGAGTTCTAGGTCAGTTGGAGCTACATAAGGAGACTGTCTCAAAAAACAACAACAAAGAAAGGCCAGCCAAATCACAGCAGCGAATCATAATACTCTAGGTATTCATTTCATCTTGCATGGTCACAAGTGCACAAAAATGAGCCTCCAATCTTCACCTGGTTTAGCATGCCAGTCCCAACCTCCAGTGACATCTGGCTGGACGTTCACAGCGGGTGTACTCGAAGCTGCAAACAGAGAGAAGATGAGTGAGGGTGGGGCAGCTCAGAACCCCCTTTTCTGAGTTCTCACGGGATAAAGCATCACTTCTGTGGCTGCCACGGCTTCTCCGTATCACAGTGGATTCATTCCTCCCCTGAGTTTTTATCACTCTGCAAGAGGGGATACTTTCTCCTTTCACCTGTGCTTGCTCACAGGAGACTGGCAGAAACCAGGTCATTCTTGGACTTACGTTCGTTTTACCTCCACATCCACCCACCTGGAATCATCCTTGTGAATGTGTCTGTCTTTGTTAAATTTCAGGTCCTTTGAAGGCAAAAATTTTCTTACTCATTTTTATGCATCCCACCTCTATAATTAACACACTGGACAATAAGAAAAGAGGAAAAATATCCTTAAACTGGGTTCACTTTAGCTTTATACCAACAACGGAGCCAAAGCATGATCGACTAGAACTGGAATTTTCTTTTCTCCTCTGCTGTGACAGGGATTGAGAACAATGAGCGATTTAGAGCATTTATTGGGCAGTGACTATGTATCACCCGCTCTGATGGTAGCAAGGATATGTCTACTGTCACTCAAAAGACACCTATTACGGCTTCAAAAGAGATCATTCTGACCTCTCAAAGTTCCACAGAGAATTGCAAAAAGGTGTTCTGCTGTAAGAAAAAATTTCTTCCTAAGGCATCTCTAGCTAGATTTTGCCCAGAAAAGTCAACAAGTAAAATTTAAGTACTAAACTAGCATTATAAATGGGACTGCAACACCCCCCGCCCCAGTAAAGGACCAAGGCACCAGGATCAGCGTTGCAGGCCTCATAGTCATTTGTTTGATTTACCTGCTGCCAACACATCATGTACCTTCCCATCAGTTCATTAATTACAAAGCTCATAGCATTATCAAAGATGCTGGTTCTTTCCCATCTACTCTTCCCCACTCATTTTCAACACTAACCCACGAAAACTGAGGTAGAAATTGGGCAATTTTGCTAAGATTTTCTGTCTGGTTTCTTTGACATTCTTATACCAGTCTTATATCCATCAGGATATAAAATGAGGCATTGGATCTTCAATCTTGTTACTAATTAAACTCACATATTCCTATAATCACCTGCCATATTCAGAGAGTAAAGACCCAAGAAACACATTTCCTATCCCCTACCCCAGGAAACTTCAAATACTCCAGAGATAAGAACATACAAATAATAATGTAATTACCTAATATTTACATCTTTGCCTTGCTGGCCTGGAACTTGCCATGTAGCCCAAATTGGCCTTGAAATTGTGACGGTCTTCCTGCCCCTGTCTCCCACAAACTGGGATGGATTACAAGGGTGAACCATCATATCTGGCTGTACTTTGCCTTTTATGTGGTTAATTGTTCACTTATGTTTCTAGTAATATATCCCAAATTACTGTTCTTCTAAAACTAGATGCTCAATAAATATTTGTTGAGCTCAAAGGCGGTACCTCTTGATTTTCAGAAGAGACTGGTGATGCCTTCTGGAAATCTGGGTTTGGCCTCCTCATGCTGACATCTGCATGTCCCTATGTGCTGTCCCACATGGAGTTGATACAACTATCTCACAAACAGTAGGGCAACTGCTTTCCTGGCAAGGATAATGGAAAATTCTCTTTACACACTGCATGACACACACCAAAATGAAGGATGTGGCTCTAAAACAAAAGAATGCTAACTTGGATAAACTAGGTGATAAACATGATTTCATTGGATCATAAGAAGCAGAGAACTAGGCCAGGATGGCATTCAGTGGTAAAATGCCTACCTAGTATGTGCAAGGACCTGAGTTTGATCCCTAGAACTACCAAAAATCAGGAAAGCAAGAAACAAGTAAACAGAACTAGATACAGAGTGCCATGCTGAAGAATTCCCCCTGTGTCCTTGGGATATCAAAGGTTGTACTCTTACCAAAGCAGTAACTTTGAAGTATTAAAATCAAAGAAATGAGTAAACTTAAAGGGCGACTTCTATGGATCAAAAAGACTTCGATAAGAAAAGTTGAGTTAATTCGTTTCATGTTTGTCTATTAGAAAGAAAGATAGAACCAACTTTTTGCCAGAAATTCTTTCAGGCTCTAGGGATATATTAATGAACAAAAGAAAGAACAAACCCAGCCTTTCTAAGACTCAAGTTTCAGTGAAAAAAGAACAAAAACCAGAAACAATAAATAAGCAAATGATCCCGCATAGTGGAAGTTGGCATGTGCAATGGAAAGCAGAACAAAGAATAGGGTAGACACCGGGCTGTGAACTGAAAGGGAGCAGAGTAAATAAGCCTCACTAACGGTAACATTGCACAAAGACTCAAAAGAGGCGAAGCCGCTAGCTGCACGGATGTCTAGAGAACAGTATTTGAGGCAGCGATAACAGTCAGAAAAATATCAAAGAGGCCAGGAGAGCTGGCAAGAAGACAGTAGGGAGGAAAATACAGGAAATGAGGCCCCAGGCTTGGTGGTGGAGTATACAAAGTCTACACAGGTCGTGGCCAGTCTGCACCATGTTGGTTCTTATTCTGGGTGAGACAGAGCCATTATGAGTACACAGATGACACACCTGGCATGTAAACCAGTAAGCAAAAATAACATTAACAGGACTGGAGAAATGGCAGTGGTTAAGATCACTCACTGGCTGCTCTTGCAGAAGACCTGGGTTCAATTCCCAGCACCCACATGGTGGCTAACAACTGTCTGTATCTCCAGTTCGAGGGGATCTAATGCCCTCTTCTGATCTCTGCAGGCATTGTATGACAGGTGCACTTACATACACGCAGGCAATACACTCATACACATAAAACAAAATAATAAATAAAATACATTTTTAAAAACTTTAAAAAAAAGTTAACTCACACCTCACATTACCTTTCGTGGATAATCATATCCAATCAGGAGACACTTAGGGGTGAAAAATGAATTTCTTGAATACTGTCCTATGGACTCACTTCAAATATTTCAAGATTAAATACAAACTGGAAGGCATCCAAGAATTGTCCCTGGGTTGATTTCTGATTTCTGGGCTTGGCCAAGTAGGAGTTTGACCAATGCTACATAACTCATCCTCCCTTTGTATGTGCATGGCTTCCACACACTCGAGATGATGACTGACTGTACTGTCCAGGCAAGCTCAGGGTATCTTCAGAAACACATCACTGCCTGGGTTAAGACCAGTTCAGTGCTTTCAACATCAGGAAAGCGCTCCAATTTGGCTCCAACCCATTTGTTTCTCACTCAGGTCCAGTTCTAAGTAGTGTAATCTGACAATATAGCAGTCATTTTCAAAGAGTAAAAAGATATCAGTAAAATTAATTTTATTAGCAATATAATTAATTTATTCAGCAATGCAACCCAAATATTATTTTAAGGAGTGACTGTTATGAAAACATGAAGATATTTTGTATTCTTTTTATGTATACTAAGCTTTGGATTCTGGCCTTTATCTTATACTTGGAGCACATTTCAAACAGAGCAGCCACATCTCAAATTCTATATCCATGCATGACTAGTAGCTAACAACTAGACTAAGAGCCCCCACATACCAGTGTGGTATATCCCACATCACTCTAGGGAATGCTAATTTTATAGAATTCTAATATACTTTATTAATTTAAGAATCCTGCTTTTCCACATTTCAAAGATTTCTGCAACTATGCTGTATCTTCCAATTAATTAAAAGTGGCAGCATTTTTTCCCATTGGCTCATAAAATAATCACATACTTATCAATGATGGCTTGTGCTTCTGTGTGTGCATCTCTACTGTAGAAAGGAACATAATTTGTAGCCCAAAAATGATTTATTCCTCTGGGACTTCCTCTGAAGAGCCACAGGTGAGCGCAGGGCACCCTGGGAAGAAGGGTGGAGACTAGCATGCCAGAGATTGGAGTGAAAGGAGGAGGAATTGGTGCCATTCAGGGAAGCAGAGAACAGGAAGCAGGCGAGCTAGCCTGCCCTGGACCCCGTGGGGCACTGGAGGACCTCGCAAGGACCGCATGAACCCCTCATGGAACTCTGTGGGGCTAAGTGGGCGTGTGGGGATGTGAGATGAGGCAGACCTTGGGCAAAAGCGAACCAGAACTGTGGGCTGAGCCGCACAGAGCGGGTGTTCTTTCTTTGTAAATTTATCTGCTCCCTCCTCCCAAAGGTATAAAATATGCAAAATTCAGTTAAAGATGTATTACGTGATTTGTCTACTTGCATCAGGAGCATGAGATCCTGAAGAGTGTGAGGGCGGGTCAAACAGAGAACGGGAAGGAGAAAATTTAGTGGGACAGAACTCCACAGTCAAATGATTTTAAGATGATCAAGTAAAACTAACTTAAACAGACTTTTTTTCTGTAAAAAAATTCCAGTTTATATGTTAATGAATTGTTCATTTCCAAAGGAGAGATACATTATATAGCTTTTCCCAGAAACACACACACACACACACACACACACACACGCACGCACGCACGCACGCACGCACGCACACGCGCGCGCGCGCGCGCGCGCACACACACACTCGGGAGGGGATGCTTTTACATCTGAGCATGTAGTGATATCTTGTGGAAAAGTTCTCCACTGAACACAACAGAAAAGACTTTCTTACCGTGCACTGTAGGAGAAGGACTTCTGGTGGGCTGCAGAAAGGGGTCACTAGAAGCATTGGATGTGCTCAGGAAGGAGCCCAGCAAGTCCTGACCTGATGGCTTAGCCGGGGCTCCAAATGGGTCAAAGGTGGCACCTAGAAAACAAAGGGAAAATGCATTTCTTTGTCCTGTAAGTTATTCGTTCTATAAATATTGAAGAGGTATCATTATTGCCTTACTAAATACTTGGAAGATCAGGACAATGTCTGCCTCCTGGCCTGCCCCACAGGCCTTTCCTACCGGTATCACTTCCTCCAAGACTAATGGTGGGTCCCAAGGATTTCTGACCACAAGAATAATTTCACCTTTGTAGACAAAGGAGTCTGGGCTTATTTATTTATTTGAAAAGACATAGCTATAAATGAGATTCCCATTAGCCTTTAGAAATTGTGTGTGCATGTGTGTGTCTATGTATGTGTATGTGCATGTCTGTGCAAATTCATGTGTGTGAATGCAGGCATATATCTACCACAATGTGTGGATGTCTGTCCTAAGCACCTACTTTGTTTGAGGCAGGATCTGTTTCACTGTTTTCTGCTGCACACGCCAGGCTAGCTGGCCTGAGAGCCCCAGGGTTTCTCTTTCTCTGCCTCCTTCCTGTTCACAGAAGGGCTAGTAATGCAGCACATCTAACTACTATGTAGTTTCTGGGGATTCAAATTCTGGCACTTACACTTGCACGGCAAGCTCTTTTAGCCGCTGAACATCTCCCCAGCCCAGCTTTGAAAGTCTTAATAAAACAAAACCAGGCAATCGTGGTTACAGACTAGCTGAAAAGATAAGATCAACACAGATGAATCCCTGATTTTCCCAAAACCATGTCTAGGCCTCAGGGATTTAGTGACTAAGCTCTGCTTAGTATGAATGTTCATATAAAATGAATGAATGGGCAAATATCAGGCAGGGGCCTTGCTATTAAGATGAATAGCAGATAACAAAAATAATTAAAGAAGAAGAAGGAGTTGGGAGGCACAGGAGGAGTTGAAGGGGGAAGAGTAAAAATGTACAGTACTCATGTATGAAATTCTTAAAAAAAATTTTAGATGAATAGTAGAAAATTCCACTGAGAGGGCTGAAAATAAAGATCAGTTGGTAGAGAGTTTGCCTAGCCTACATGAAGCGATCTGTTTGATCCCTAGTACCGCAAAGTCATGGTGGTACACGCCTGAAATCCCAACACTTGGGAGGTGGAGACGTGAGAGTCAGAAGTTCAAGGTCATCTTGATCTACGTGTTGAGTTCAAGGTCAGCCTAAGCTACATGGGACCCTGTCTCAAAAGAAAGAAAAAATACCATTGAGTAAGTTTTGTATTAATTTCATTTTTAAGTGATCTCCAGCTCACTTGAAAGCTAAAAAGAGGGGGCAAAATGAGATAAGTGCAAAGAGCTGAGCTCATCACGTCTCGAGTTCATAGAACTCAAGCATTTTTGAAAACACTGACTCTCAGCAGCCTACTGCAAACCAGATCCATATCTAAGTGAGAAAGATCGTGCATGAACTTGGAAGGAAGTGGCAGAAGGTTACAGCTGCCAGCAATACACTGCTGCATCTTCCCAAGGGCTATGTTGCTTTTGCAAGAAGACCTCAGGTGGTCCTCAATTTCTTCCTGGCAAACAAGTGTTATCTTCACTCAATACATGATGAAACAGATTTAGGAAAAAAAGAACTCAGAAACTTGCTCTGGTTCAAGATTCAGAAAATACTAACACAGAACATTCACATTCAAATCTTTTGACTCCAAATTCCATGCATTTCCCACAAGCATCAGTCATAAAATGAATGTGATGGAAATCACTAAGCTGTGTGGAGATAACTACCCTCTCAACTATTATCACTAAGCAAGGAACAAAACCTGCTTGATCTACCTAAAGTGAGCTGTCACTTCCAAATCTGTGCACATCAAGCTGATGACTATTTGCTTCCTGGAGTGAGGCTGACCCAGTCTAGGAATAGAAGCTGAGAATCAAACCAGTTAGCAAACACTTCCCACTCTCATGATGCAGTAAGACATACGATTTCACAAGTTTATAGCTATGACTTCGTTGGCACAATGCTCTCCTAACAGCTGCTGGGCAGCAGATCAGCCTCGTGAGATAGCAGTGGGGCCTACTGTGTTTCAGACAATTTATTCTTTGATGCACATTCCTTATCTCACTTAGTACTCAAAAGACCTCCTCTCTGAACAGAAAAACACTGCGGTTTTCAGGGTGACTGTAACGACAATGGGTTAATCTGTCTGTTTCTGGGTTAAAGCTAATTAGTGGAAGACATCAAAGTCTCCTTAGATTACTTGGAACACTCTGAATAACTAAAGTGAAATGTGACTATTACAAGAGCCTGAGATTTAGTCTCTACAATAATGTCCATAGGTATTACCCCCAACTAAGGAAGTTAGGAGTCTTTAATAAGGCTATCCAGATAGTTAAGTTTCAGTCTTGAGATTTAAAAGTAGGCCATTAATTCTAGCCTTGGGATTTCCTTTTTGGGGGACAGAATACTTGAGTCATAGATCTCGATCTGCCAGTAACAGTTGGGTATACTGAGACAAATCAATCAATACATCTATGACTTCATAGGCAGAATTAACTGATGTCCACAGCCCCTTCTAGCTCTGACACTGGAACACAACTATCAGGACAGGACTACAATGACTTAAATGATTAAACCTCACTTAGGATGGTGTGTCTTAACACTCAACTGTGGAATACTATGCTGTCTTAGATCTTGGGAATTTTGTTTTCCTGACAGAGCATTTATTCACTCCGATGAATTTGAACTAGATGACAGAAAGCAAAGTACAGAGGAAACAGCCATGGAGTAGGACTTGAGCTCCTGGGATTACCTTCGGCCTTCATCAATATGCTATACAGGAACTTGAAACAACACCTATGCTCTGTGAGCCTGAATTTTGTTTATTTTTATTTTATGTGATAATACTTTGCCTGCATGTATGTAAATGCACCCATGTCATCCAATGCCTATGAAGAAGAGGGCATTGGATTCCCTGGAACTGGAGTTACAGACAGCTGTTAGCCTCCATGTGGGTGCTGGGAACTGAACCCTGGGTTCTCTGCAAGAGCAGCCAGTGCTCTTAACTGCTGAGACATCTCTCCAGCCCCTGCCCTGTGATTCTGACTCCCATTCTCACAAGGAGGCCCCCAACCAGTCTTCCCAAACCAAGACCTACCTACAACCTTAGAAGAAGCTGAAGAATGAGCTCTGGGAGAAAGCTCCTACGGGATTTTACATGCCTAGGCAGTTGGGACTTCCTACACTTTTCTACCATTATTTGTATTTTCCCTTTTCTGATTTCAAAGAAATGGGAAAAGTCCAGCTTATCAACACTTCAGTTCTGCTTACTGACCCAAAAGTTATAACTCAAATTTCAGACGTACGGAGAAACATGGGAAAAATTACCTTCTCCCACTCGTAGGGTTGGCGATGCTGAGGCAGAGGTGGCTCCACGGCGAGGTGTTGACTGCGCAGATGCAGGTCCACTAGGGTGAAACACATCTTCCACCCCTGCCTGTCCCATTTGGGCAGGGCCAGTGGTACCTCCTCCCCCAAACAGGTCACTCAGCAGTTCAGAATTGCTGGGAGGAGCCGCCAGTGGAGAGAAGTTCGTGCTCACATCAGACCCTTCCAGGCCCAGAAGGTCCACCTCCTCGGGGGCAGGAGGGGCAGCTGGCTCCTGTTGCTTTTTACTGGGCTTCTTGGCTCCATGAGGCTTGTCACCATTGGCATTGCCATGCGGACTGGAGAGGGTCAGAAGTTCATCATCCGACTGCTCACTTTCCTGATTCACCAGGGCAGCGTGGTCCTCCTCACAGAACGACTTCTCTGATTTCTGATCTAAGGAAGGCCGGTATGCAAATAAATGATTGGTGACTGACCACTGGGTGAGGTGGGTTTTGTTACAGTATCTGTACATTATTCCTGAAAGAGTAAAGGATCTAGTTGTGAGTAGACAGTGCTTTCAGGCCCTTACCGATGGGACACTGAGTGTAGTTAAGAGCATTCTCAGCTGTTTGCTCAATGTCTGCAAGGGAATACAGCACAGGTGCTAAAAGGAGAAACTCTGGGGTCAGGTGACCTAGGACTGAACCCCAGCTCCACCCCTCACTGGCTCTGCAACACTGAGCATGTTACTTGACTTCTCTGAGCCTTGGTTTGTTCCTCAGCGAAACGGGCAATGAATAGTACAGAATTCACAGCTGCTGTAAAAATGACATGAGATGACATTGAAAAGAGCTCAGATCAACAGCAGTGTCATCTAAAAGCTGATCTCCGGCACTGTGCTTGGTGCCATGGAGAACAACTGCAGTAATGCCTAGCTTTGCTAGCTTTTACTTCTCCACTGGCCTGAAGCAGAAACGACTCCCACACGAAGTAAATGGGATGAGATGGCTCTGCCCCTGACAGCCCTCCTATCATCCCCAAAAAGAAATATCTGCCACATAAATTGGTCTTAGGAAAGATGTTTCTGCTGGAGAGGAATGGAGATCAAGTAGCTGGCTTTCCAGGCCCCACTGAGACCATCTTTCCATAGCACTTTGCATGACAGACAGGCCCACCTACTAAATCAGGCATAGGTTTACACTTGTGAAGCCCAACTTTAAAACACAAAGACCTGCAAACAGGTCAAGGCTGCCCTAAGTGTGGTGAAAACTTGGGAGAAGAATCTGATCAGAATGACATATGAGAATGTCTGCTATTGAACAGCACTGCCCTTCAAGACAGACAGACGCCATCTTCCCGGTTGCAAAAGATCATCATATCTGGACTTGTTGACTGTTGACCTTCTCTCATGGAAGGAGGGGTTGGGAGGGTCATGAGACACTTGCCTGAGTAGTCAACCACTAATTATACATGACTTCCAGGAAGGGCTAGACTTTATGGACTGAGGAAGACTAAAGGAGGTGCTGGGGCTCCATTTATGGGGCTACAGGGAAGCCATCATCCATGCTGGGTAAAAACTTTCTAATACAGTGTTATAAAGGGAGCACCCACACTCCTGTAAGTAACCCTTCACCCACTGCTCTGTAAATAAGTCCAATAACCTCATTGGTTCCCCAGGGTGAACTGTGGGGATAAGTTCGGGCCGAGGGGAGGCCGACAGTGAACTATGGTGGTGTGGTATCTTGGATTATCATTGGGAACAAGGGAGAAGGGGATGAAAGCTGCTTACACATCTCCCGAAGGAGTTTTAACAATGCCCGAAGGCTTCAGTTGCCTCACTCAGGATTATTATTTATATGTTCCACTGCAGAAATATTGATGTCTGATTGCAGGTTGTTATCTGAGATGCCGCTGGGGCTGTAAAGCAATATACGGCTTACATATCTTCACGAAATGCAAAAGTTTTGCATTCCCAAACAGATAAGAGCTTTCATCAGTGCTGAAAGCTCTCCATGCCTACAGAATCATTTCTAAGTTACTAGCATCGCATGGGAAGGTCAGAGTAAAGCTTTATTAAAAGCCATTCAAGATAAGAAATATGAAGAGGCTGTAGACCCACCCAAAAGCTGCATCTGGTGGGCTTTCCAAGTCTGAGAAGCTTCTGTTCCATTTTTCAAAAGCCTTTCAATCCAAAGGACTTCTATGAATAAATTTTTTAACTAAACACTGAAAATTTCTATAGACTGTGGGAATACTGTCTTATATCATACATCAGAGAAAGGTCGATCAAGAGAATGTTAACTAAGCCATTCCAGAAGCCAGATCCCCACCACTGTTATGTAGTCCTGACTACTCAATTCTACAGCACATTTTGCAGCTAACCTCAGCAAACTTTAAAGCAAAAACGGCCAGTGTTGTTGACTAATGCCAATGGCAGTCTTGAAGACAGCAGTCTAAAAAGCGCTATGTTGAGGATTCGGGAAAAGCCTTCAGGTATGGGAGAAAAGAGAACAGTGACAGAGCCCTGATTGAAACAAGGGTTGTTATAGCAACTAACAGAGAGCCAGACCAGCTGACTGCCTTCACCACACCAGGGCAAGTCCTGCCCTGCCTTGCCACAGCATGCCAGACAAGGCGTCACTTGACTTTTTTTCGAATATTTGCTCGAAGGCAGAAAACTGAGTGCTGTGTGTCTCTGAGTTATCGGCAGCCTAAAGGAAGATCTCAGAACATACATTTCAATTGTCTTAGAAGATGTGGCCCAGAACACAGTGCAGGGGAAGAAAGAAGTTAGCCTAAGTTGGCTTTCTGGTCAGTCTGAGCACTCGTGGATTTGAAAGCCAGGAAGAACCCTGATACAGAAAACAAATGAGGGGAAGGATATGAAATGAGGCACACAGGAACTTTTGATTTAGGTTGCTTCATTTCAAGGATTGTTTTTATAAAACAACCACAGAACTGAATCACTTAATCATCTAACTTAAGTGCTTTGATGTACCTTGCCAACAGAGAGAGGCAAAGAAGCCGCCTTGCCCAAGATGCCTGGGATGGTCCGGAGGGAGATCTGCTGGAGCCTGACCTATAAGACAGAAGGTCGCGTAGCATCAATGAAGCAGAGGAAATGAAGTGACATGGTAAGTAACACAGAGGCTTCATCCTGAAAACCAAAACCAGCAGGTGGCTCATACCCCCTAAAGCCAGAGTGTCCTGATGCTCCTGCTGAGAGGAGAAGAGGATGCTGGGGTTCACGTCCTTTGTGCAGTAATGCTCCCACGGTGGGGTCAAGTCTATCACTTTGTCGTTGGGCTGTACTTCTATATCCAGTGTCACCTGGAACAGCTGAGGATATTTTTCTGGTGCATCACATGCATCCAACTCAGGCCTAAGAGAAAGAATAACACCAGCAAAGAACAGTAGAATTGGCAGATGGTCAACACAGAAACCGTCTTGGGCTGACTTCAGTTTAACTTGAGACTTGTTTCTAGGTCTCAAGTTAATGATTCAATCATTAACTAGATATTACTTTACTTTTCTGTGTCTCAGTTTCCTCATCCAGAGAAAACAGGAGAATAAGACTTGCACAGATTCCTTGGCTACTGCTGCACATATTAATAAAAGCAACAAGAAAAGCAGTTTAAAGACCTGATCAGTAGGCACTGCCATGGCAAACGGTTGGTCATTAAAGTAGAGAGACAGCTCCAAAGCCCCTCCTGAGCCTGTGAATTCCTGAACCCTTCAAAGCCCTCCCACTCTCCAGGTTCCAAGAACTACCTCCATCATCCTAGCCTTTGCCATGCCCTGGGTTCCCTGGCCACTAGATTTAACTGCCAGTCAAATCTAGTCTAGCCAGGCCCTCGTGCTGTGGCCAGGCACCCATCATGAAGGGCCAGTGTTCATACTGTCCCAGTGTTAAAATGCTGTTTCTATTGGAAACACAGGCATTCACAGATACAAAGGCACAAGGAAGTAATCTTTTGTTTCTTTTTTCTCCCTTATATGGAATTTTAGATCTTTATAGAACTCTTTGATCCATTTGCACTTCTTTTTTTAAAGACTTATTTTATGTGTATGTGTACGTGCCTGGGTGTGTATATGTGCACCACATACATGCAGGTGCCCACGGATGCCAGAAGAGGGAACCAGATCCCCTGGAATTAGAATTTATAGGTGGCTGTGAGTTGCCCAACATGGGTGCTGGGAACTGAATCTGGGTCCTCTGGAAGAGCAGTACATACTCAACTCTTCAGCCATTTCCCAAACACCCATTCTTAAGACAAATTACATTTAACTGAAAGATTTCAAATGCATGTAGCCTCTCTGTGTGGTGAAGCCACACTCAGCAGTTCATAGTACAGGACCCTGGAGACCGCAGCGTGGTCCTATGGAGACTCACTGCTTCGTAGCTAAGCTTGAAGAACTCTGGTCCAAATAGCACTTACTTGGTGAACTTTAAAACTGTCGTGTCCAGTGGTATGAATCCAGAATGAAACTGCAGCTGGAATATCTGTGTGTTGGTCACCTGAATATGTGAGAGAATTACAATCAGGCATAGAAAAGGGAATCTGAACTGAAGGTTGTCTGGGGAGCCATTACCGCCAACTGTTTATGTATCTGACACTTTGTCTGCTATGAATATTTAGATATCTCTCAGCTTCATTTCTAGCATCTCCCCTACACAAGGGAAAACTGTTTTCTTATCCACTGACGTCCCATGTTCTTATACATGCCATGTTTAAGATGCCCTGCTCCAACCTGACAAACATATCCTTCAAGGCCCAGTACGTAATCTGTCTGGCCACCACTAGCTAAAACAGACTGCTCCAAACACAGCACCCCATCTGCCATGTGATATGGTATTGTAGGTATCTGTCCATGTGTGATTTATCCCCTCTAAGTTAAGTTATTGTACAGGAAAGGACATGGTCTTGTGTTAATCCAAAACACCTAGGCAACAGTTGAAATAGAACATGCACTTAGCAAATATTTGATTAATTAAAAGATAACTACTTGAGGGGGCTGGAGAGATGACTCAGTGGTTAAGAACACTGGTTGTTCTTGCAGAAGACCCGAGTTAGAATCCCAGCACCCACATGGCAGCTAACAACTGTCTATAACTCCAGTTCCAGGAGATCCAATAGTCTCTTCTGACCTCTGCGGGCACTGCACAACACGGTGCACCTACCTACATGCAGGCAATACACGCATATACATAAAATAAAAATAATAAATAAAATTTAAAAAAGATAACTACTTGAAACATCATTCATAATAGCCAAAGAGTAGAAATAATTCAGACATGGAGAGTGGATAAAATGTGGTGTAACCACTCAATGGAACATTACATAACTGTGTAAAGGAATGAAATGCTGATGTAAGCTAAAACACGCATAACTCTCCAAGATAATATGCTGAGTGAAAATAAGCCAGCCACAAGAAACCACATAGTGTATTATTCCAATTACATGAAATGCCCCCAAATAAGCAAGTCTATAGGAACATAAAAGAGATTGTGGTTATCAGGAAGTGAGGAGGAAGGGAGGGACGGGCAGCAACTATTAGTGGGTACAAGGTTTCTTTACAGGGTGAAGAAAATGTTCTTTAATAGAGAATTATAATGATAGCCACACCTTTTGAATATATGAAAAATCACTGCACTGCACTCTTATTTTATGTATTTATTTATTTATTTATTTATTATTTACTTATTGTGTGTGTGTCTGCATTTGTGTATGTGTTACACAGGAAAGCCAACTGCAGCGATAAAAGATAACTGTAGGAGTTAATTGTTTCCTCACACCATGTGATTTCCAGGGATTGAACTCAGGTTGTCAGGGGCTTGGTGGCAAGCATCCTTATCTGCTGAGCCATCTTGCCAGCCCTCGCACTGTACTCTTTAAAAGAGGTGGTTTTGTGTAATATGAATTTCATCTTGGTAATTAAAAAAAATAGTAGAAATCTCTTACTTTATAGTGAATTCACCCACTACCACCCTCAACAGAATACTGTAAGAAAGGCACAGGTTCTAAAGAATGTGGTTTGCTGAAAGTCCCAGGTTGCTACCTTCTGGGTGGCAGGCATCCTACAAGTCCCCACCTGTCTCAATCTCTATTTCCTCCCCTAGGTAGTGAAGAAGGACTTCAGCAGATTTTAAGGGGTCTTTCTCACTCTAAACCCACAAGTCATTTAAGTCCAGGATGATATGGAAAAAAGACTCAGAAATTAGAAACTTAGCTGAGCTCACAATCTGATTCCAATCTAATTCCTCTCAAAAGCTTACCTTAGCCTGCAGTCGGCTGCCAATGGTTGACCGCAAGTGGTACATGGAAACGATAACATCGCCTTGTACAGTGATATTCAAGGGGATGAAGATTTTCCCATCTTGAACACGGTATTCTCTTTAAACAGAGACCAGAAACACACTGAGAGTGTCCGATTTGGTACAGTCACATTGATACAGGTATATTCTGTGGCTTTGACTAAAGGGCATGTTTTCCCAGGCTTGTGCAAAGGTAGGAATGTAACTAGTGTGGACAAGAGGCATACTGGTTCTGCACTGGGAGGGCACTGACCAGACACAATCTACCCCACCTGGACTTCCAGGCAGATCTTGCTTTCCTTAAATCATCATGCCTCACACAGTCACCTTTTCCTAACTTGAACAGTAAAGTCTACCCAAGATCAGTATAAAACCAGAAACACCATGCTCATTGAGGGTTTTGAATACTGACTCCCAAATTCAACCTATTCTCAACTAAGTTTGTGTTAGGTTACGATACACTCCCTTCTCCCCAAACCCTGAGGCCCTCCCACTGGCACTTGATCTTTATGGATCCTATAAATTCCTCAATTACATCACCATTCACCTGATTTCTCTGAATCTCCTTCTTAAATGTGCAAGTCTTCTGTCCCCCACCCCACCATCTGAACATTTGTCAGAGAGGGTACCAGCGTACCATCCTTTAGAACACAGTCCCACTCTGTGTATAAAGGAGACTCATCTCTACATTCAGTTGTCTCCATCTTTGATTATGCCTCATGTTGAAATTTTTAAGAAAAATCACATGTTGCAGTGATTAGCAGGAAGAATATAATCCAAGTTACACAGGAATAAAGCAGTATACAAGAAGTGAAGAGGAAGCATTGTAACTTACTTCATTCGTTCAAAATCTGTGCAAGTTGAATATATTTTAGTTTCTCCAATCAGCACATCACAGTAAGGGCGACATCCGTTTCTCTGTTTATTGAAGAAAGGAATTGGACTGACAGTGATCACCTTGATCGTGAGAGGCTTGAAGTGTGGGCGGTAGGGCTTATCTGCAAGTAGGTCACACATGTATCCCAGGTACCTGAAAGAGAAGACTGCCACTGTAGGCCATCACACCAAGAGAACTGGGCAATCTCTGCTGGGAAGCTTGTCCCTGCACATCAAGATACACTAAGAGTCTACTTACATTGCTTGAATATTAATCACCAAAGAGAACGCAGACAGTTAAGAAAGCTTGTATCAGCTGACACTACTATACCACCCCAAAGAGCTGATAATGGGGCGTTTGTTCAATCAAAAGGCTTAAGGGAGCTTTATACTAGCTCAGTATTTCAACATCTATTCCTACTGTGTCTAACAGATTAAATGTATCAATGAAAGGCTGATTCAGATAGATTTTAGAATTGAGAAGAACTTTTAGTCTCCCAAAGTTAAGAAGATGGAATTTTAAAACAAATGCGGGAATAAATTTAACTATAGAGAATAAATCAGTTATCTCAAAGGCGCTTTCTTTTTAAAGCTATTTTTATATTATCTATTATACTCATAATTCCTACATCTTAGTGTGCTGGATCGCTTCAATTGTCAACTTGACACACCTGTGGGAGGGAACCTCAACTGTGGAATTTCTTCCATTGGATTGGCCTGTGGCCATGTCTGTGAGACATCTTCTTGATTACTGAGTGATGTGGGAGGGTCCAGCCTGTTGTGGAGAGTGCCACCCCTGGGCAGGCAGTCCTGTATTGTATAAGAAAGCAGGCTGAGCATGGACCAGGGGAGCAAGCCAGTAAGCAGCATTTCTCCATGGTCTGTGCTCCAGGTTCCGGCCCTGAGTTCCTGCCTTGGCTTCTCTTGAGAATGGACCATGAGCTGTAGGCCAAATGAACCCTTTCCTCCCCAAGTTGGTTTTGGTCAGTGTTTTTATCACAGCAATAGAAAGTTAACTAAGACGCTCAGTCATAGGAAAAAGTGAGTTTAAAACCCCTATTCTGTGTTTTCTCATTTTCGCATGGTGACTTTTTAGTAAAAGTCTAAATCATGAAACAGGGAGGAACTGGGAGCTTGGGATGGAGGCAGCGGTCTAGCTATGTCAATTGGGTACTTTAGACCTGAGTTCCTCACATCCTTTCTCAGTCTAGTTGCCTCGCCTAGTGAATGAGGAAAGTATCGGTATTCCTTTAAAGTTTCCTTCTAGTTTTAAAATCACTAACTTTCAAATGGGGACTTAAGAAATTTATGAAAACCCAATATTCTCACATTTCATGTGGTCACAGCTCGGGATAATACCACATCAACTAGAAGAAAGTTAAGAGAGCTCCCACGAGGACAATCTTTAGCAGTCCAAGATACCAATTAAACCATGCACGTGCTGGCCCTGCACTTCGCTTACTATACCTCCTGTGGGATGGCGACAGACCAATTCCTGGTCGCTTTGCGTAGAGCAATCGAACAGCCGGGCCAGGCGTAGCGTAGAGATTACAGAAAATGAACATAGCACCAATCAGAATTGATGATGCCGCCCGTCCATCCTGTCAAAGAAGACATCAGAAATGTCAAATCAGGGAGGAGCCTACTTGCAGCTAATAGAGAAAAAGGAGAGGAATCCTCCTAACTAGGGGTGGCTTTCGCGTCTCAACTGTTCACTTCAAAAGAAAAATAAATCTGTCCTCCCTTTTAAATCACAAAGCAGCAAGGACAGCATTTTAAAGATAAAACTGGCTTTCTATTAACCCACAAGTCCACCAGAATAAATCTGACTTGCATATATTTGCTGAAATTAAAGTACACCTTGGCACTACGGGATCGTAACCAATACCTTGGCACTCAGGTAAAGAGCTCTAGGCAAATGTGGGTTTTGGAATACGCTATATATGTATTTCACCCAAACTGTATGCTCCTTCAGTAATAGAAAAACAAACCACATTTATTGTACAAATCTGTTATGAACTGAATGTTTTCTCCCAAAATTCATATATTGAAATGCTAATTCCTAATGTAAGGGTATTTGGAAGTGGAGATTAGGGTTGGTCATGAGGGTAAGGGTCTTTATAAATTCTCTCTCTCTCCCTCTCCCTCTCTCTCCTGCTCCCTGCTCCTACTTTCTCTCTCCCTCTCTCTCTGCTTGAAGATGCTAGGCAAAGGTAGCTATGTGTCTGGGAAGCAGTCTGATCTCTTGGATCTGCAAACACCCTGAACTTGGCTTACAATCTCCAATCTGTCTCCATGAGAAACAAATCCAGTTTCTATGAGAAACAAAATTTCTACTATTTATGGCACTTGGTCTGTGATATGCTCGTTACAACAGCCTGAGCTAAGATGACATTCAGTGACACTCCTGATGGCTGTTTCTTAGCCTCTTCTAGAATATACTAAGTGAAAGGGATATTGCTTCTATTTGAAGTAGCCCACCCCAATTTACGAAGTGTTTCCCGTACTATGCTGAGTTAAAGTCTGTTCCTCCACGGTTTTGTTTTGTTTTTAGCTTGTTTTGAAACAAAGTCTCACTGTGTAGCCCTGGCTGGCCTGGAATTCACTATATAGACTAAGCTGGTCTCGAACTCACAGAGATGCATTTGCCTCTGTCTCCTAAGTGCTGGGATTAAAGGAGTATACCACGACACCTGGCTTTTCTTCCACAGCTTCTACTAAACAATCTTCATTCTTCCTTCTGTGAAGTAAGAACAAACCTGCTCCTCTTCCTCTGGCAACCTCTTGTATTTCTGAAATGCTTTCCCTTTCCCTCAGAACTCCTGCTTTCCAGGTCAAAGCCAGTTCCTTCCCTTTGATACTTAAAATATCAGTCTCCAGTGTGTTGTCCAGACTTGAAATGCAAAGCGTGGATTGGGTTCTGATGAATTAGAGAAGAAATACGTTGCCCTTGGTGTAGACACTGTGCTTTCATTAACACAGCTCCAGACCAAACTAGTATAAATGCAGACAAGCCATAGTACAGGCTCATATTGATCTTCGTAGCCACTGAAACCCCTAGCTCATTCTCAGGGGACCTGCTAAACTAATGGACAGTTATGTTCAATTTTTTAAAAAATCTAGCTACACATTTATCCTATGTTTAATATCACATTGTTAGGTTTTATTAAATAACAAAACTGTAAAATTTTTTTTAACATTTAAAAAATTTCTATGTGTGTATATGTCTGCCACATGTGTACAGAAACCAGAAAAGGGTGTTGGATTCCCTGGAGCTGGAGTTACAAACAGTGGTGGGTCACCTCATGTGGGCGCCATGAACCAAACTCAGGTCCTCTGGAAGAGCAGTACACGCGCTCTTTACCACTGGGTCCTCTCTCCAGCACATTCTAAGATCTTTGAAGTTCTAGGCTCATAGGCTGAAGAGATACCTTAGCATTTACGAACTCCTGCTGCTCTTGAAGAGGACCTGGGTTCTATTCCCAGCACCCACATCAAGTAGCTCACAACTGCCTGTAACTCCTGTTCAGGGAATCCAGTGCCCTCTCCTGACCTCTGAGGGTACCAGGCATTCACACATACATGTAAAGTGAAATTTTTAAAACAAATCTTTTAAATTCCAGGTTCACTATGTGACCATCCCAATTCTGAGAAAACTGATAAGCTTGACTTCTATATCTTCAGCAAAATTGATGATTTTTTAAGTAACCAAATAAAATCTTTACCCATGAGGACACTGATGAGGACCTTTTAAAGCAGATTTTCAGCAACAGCCCATAAGTACAAAATAACCCAACCCAGATTTCAGTGGCTACAAAGATCTTAACTACAAGAAATTGGGAAGTCTCAAGCAACTCAGTCAATGATCTCAATTAGTCAACTTGACTTGCCTTGCTACATGTGTTCAGTTGATCTGGTGCTGCACTGACATGAACCCATGTGGACTTCCTTTTTCTAAGACTTGTTTTTTTTTTTTTTAATATTTTATTACATTTTAATTTTATGAGTATGAGTATACTGCCAGCATGTATCGATAAGTGTACACGTGTCATGCAATGCCTATGGAGATCAGAAGAAGGCATCAAGTCCCCTAGAAATGGAGTGATAGATGGTTGTTAGCCTGGATTGTGAGAGTTGGGAACAAAACCCAGGTCTTCCGCAAGAGCAGCCAGTGTTCCTAATCCCTAAGCTATCTCTCCGGCCCTCATCTAAGACTTTTGTTACATGCACAGTCATTACAGTGCCATCAGACTCATTAGGCCCATAATCCTGCAGTATCAACATGTCCATCTTTTTTTTAATTGTATGTGTATGCGCGTTTTGCCTGCATGTAGTTGCAATACCCACAGAGGCCAGAAGAGAGTGTCGGGTCCCCCTGGAACTAAAGTTATGGACAGCTGTTGATCACTAATGGAATCAAATGTGGGTCCTCTGGAAGAGCAGCCAGTGCTCTTAACCACTAAGCCATCTCTCCAGTCCCAACCCTGTTTATCTTTAAAGGGAAATCCTCTACTTACCTGGCACCTCTTCTTCCTGTTTCCTTATAGAAAACAAGGAATCCATAACTGCATCTCCCTGTTCTCTCAGCAATTTGTCACAGAATTTAAGTATTGAGAATGGGCTAATGTTAAGCACTGTGAGGCTGCCTGCGACCTCACTACCTGTCAACTTTATCAGTTATCCCTGCTAGCTTGAGGGTGCAGCTTCTGGAAGAGGTGCTGGATTGTTGTTCAAGGCTTTCACAAGGGTGGTGGCTGGGCCTGCACCTCTGGCAGGCACTTGGTAGGGGCCTTTTGGTATTCATGGGGTTTCAGCATGATCACGTGGATGGGACACTTGGAGTCTGCAGCTGCTCCCAAGTTCATCTTAGAGGGGATACAGACAGGGTAAGTTCTAGTCCTCAAATGTAACTGCAATGTGGCCATACACTACAATCGACAAGGTGTCATCTGCCAAAACCACGATCCTTCTCTCACCCTGTTGAGAAATTTCTGAACCTCCTTCACTCTGTGCCAAATCTGCTTCCGCTTCAGGGTTTTCTTGATGAACTTATAGAGCTTACGCATGAGGAGCAGCAAGCTAGGCATGATGTAGTTCAGGTTGACCACCGGCTGGTGGTCAGTGAGGCCTTGGCTGGTGCCTCAGGTCCTTCTGGGTCCCCAACAGAGTCCCTATATGAATCCTCTCCCCCTTGGGTTTTTATTCTTTATGACTGCATAGTGAAAGCTGGGAGCATTTAGCCTCTCCAAACTTTTAGAAAAAAATAAAGTGAGAATCACTTAAGGCTGTCAGTCCCTAAAAGTAATCTGTTGGTTGTGTACTCTGCTGCCATCCTAAAGGAAAGCCCTGCAGCCTTTGATGTTTATTAAAGGCTTACAGAGACCAAGTGTTTTGCCTTGATGCCAAACATTTGGGAGTCAAAGCAGAAAGGTAAAAAAGTTCAGCCATCTTCCTTGCTTCCTGGCTCTCACGGCAAAGAAAAGGCAGCTAGTAGCCTCACAGCAAAACAACAAAAATGACTGTGAAGCTTCTAGAAGCAATGGACCATTCCCAGTGCTCACGCTCAGACTCCATGTTTTTGCGAACACAGCCACTTACTCAGACCTTTTGTGTCTTAGTAAGAAGGAAGTTCCTTCCTGTAAGAGACAGACCAGTGGAAAATGGGTAAGGGAAGAGCTTGGGGTGGTGCCATGTATATAAATGCCACGGGTGACATTTAGATGCACAGTGGGAATGTCTGTGTTGTGAAAAACACTGAAGGGTCAGATTTTGCTGGAAGTTCAGTTTTAAGGGCTATGTAAGAGGCTGAGAGGAAGGAGAAAAGGGCTCTAGGAAGCCAAGCCAGAAAACCCATCAGCCCCACCGGAAAGTGCTCACAAGGGTATACATGCCACTTCCTCTTATTTTTACTCAAACACAAATAGTAAGAAAAAATAAATGTGTTTGTTGATTCGTTTATTTATTACAAAACTCAGTGCATTTTTACCTGCATGCCCACAACTTTTTCTACCTCTTTAATACTTGGCACGTTTTAGATTCCCTGCGTTATATGGGCTATGAACACAGATGCCTCTCTAACACTTACTAAGCTTTAAGTCAAGAATAAAATCAGGTACTTGGCACAAATGTGTAATCCTAGCAATGAGAAGGCTGAGGTGGGTGGATTTTCATGAGTTCAGGGCCTGCCTGGGCTACATAGTGAGAACCTGTCTCCAAACAAAACAAAACAAAACCCCGCCAAGAATCATAAATCCTCCCCTTGTTTTCAATCCCCTGGCATTCCTTCACCTATAAGTAGAGGTTCAGTGAACACTGTTGAGCTCAGATGTTATCTGTCCAAACCATCACCACCAGCAGAAGGAAAGGTCGCTCACCAAACAGTGGACAACACAGACGTTTTTCGGATTCTGCAGCAGCCAGTTGTACATATTCCGACAGACAGCAAAGAGGTTGTGCAGACTAGGGGCCTGCCTGAGGGGCCAGCTGCACTCTGAGACCTAAGGGAAGAAAGAGAAAGGGAATAAATCCTCCCAGCAACTTCATGAATCTCTGCAAGCGGTGTCGTGTCTCCTTTAGATATATGGAGCAAGGCCTAAACACAGGAAGAGGAGCTTAATACACTGATTTGTTGAGATCTCCATAAACATGTACCACACCGAGCTTCTGCAAGTGGTACAGTGTCTCCTTTTGACAGACAGGCAGAGTCGGGAACAAGGTCTAAATGTAGGAAGAGTTGAAGCTTAATACAGTAATTTTTGTAAGACGAGGGTCTCTGTACATAGCCCGGGATGGCCTTGAATTCACAATCCTTCTGCCTCAATCCTGAGCCTCTAGAGTACTGGGATTACAGGAAATCTCTGACTTAATACAGTAACTTTTTAAATTAAAGAATTCTGTGGGATCCTGGGAGCAAAATGGCTAGCTAAGACTAGCTGAATTGGTGAGCCCCAGGTTCAGCTAAGAACCCTGACTTGATAAAGTAGAGAGTGATCAAAATAGTCTCTCAACATCAACTTTGAGCCTACACACACACACACACACACACACACACACAAACACATAGATACATGCATTCATACCCCCCCCACCATCACGCACATGTGTGCACATCAAAAAGAAAGTGGGAGGATATTTGAGGAGACTCACTCTGGGATCTGCACTTTCCAAAGATCTCTCACAGTGTTTTGTAGAAAATTACAAGATCAAGACAGAAGGACCAGTCAGGAGGCTGGTGAGGTGGTAGGAGGCAAAGGAAGAGCTGTTGATAGCTTTGTCTAGTTAAGTGGTCATGGGATGCAAATATTCTGGGTGACTCGAGAATAAAAGTGGTCTTGGTGACCACTCACGTGGTGGTGAGTGCATTAGAGATATACTTAAAAGAGAATGGTGACAGGGGTCAACGGTAGGATAACACCCATGTATCTAGCTTGAATGGCCAGAAACAAGTGTCATTCACTGAAATGGACTCCTAGAGAAAGAAGTTTCATGGGGATGCCATCACTATGGGGAGTTGCGCGGTACAGACAGCCCCAGCCTAAGAAAACCTCAAGCACCTCAAATTCCCTTTGCTCCACATTGGAAAAGGAGGCAGGAGGAATCTCATCCGTTGACCTTTTTCCTCTCACTAAATAACAATCTGGTGATAAGAAATAGCAAAATATAATATAAAAACAATCAAAATATAAATGGGGAACTAGCTGTGATTTCTGCACACTGACCTCAGAAAGCAAAGATAGGAATTTCCTTCTCTAGGTCTGCCAAGGCAGCCAGCTCTTTTTGGTTGATCCATAGCCATTTTTTCTATGACTGTGGGATAAAAGTGACCTTCCAGGTTACCTATATTTCTATACACTTGGGACTAACAGGTGCTGCATATTAAACAAAGTGTGTGACAAGCTTAACACAACTACTAAAGGATCCATGAGGTGCTGGCTCAGACCTGTCAGGTTAGACTCCACAGTGGCTTGTCCCTTTTAACCAACACGATTCAGGGCTGTGTTGAATCCATTGTTAAGTCCTCAAGTAGATTCCCCACTAGTGTTTTTTCAAAGAATAGACATGGCTTTCTGAATTAAAGAGTTGAAAAATTAAGATGGTAAATTTTGCTGTCAGAAGAAAAGTGCAGCTTTTACAAGCTGCTTCCTGTCTTCTGTGTGTCTCCTCCCTTAATAACTTCTATTAGCCCTTCAAAACTCAAACTCATCTTTGTACCTATGTCCTGGTCTGTTTTCATCCATCATAGTTTTTTGTCATTTCCTCTTTTGTCTTTTTTTTGGTAAAACAGGATGGTTAAAGACAGGACAGGTTTCCACATTGGAGTTGCCACTAACTACTTGTACTGACTTACCCAAGTTTCATTTCTCTTGGGTGCTAAGTGCAAGTGAGTATTATAGGATTGTTGTGGGAATTAAGTCTTGTTTTTGCCAAGCTGCACTGATTGGCTGTTTCTGTCTCCCTCTATGGCTAATGAGTTCTGTGAGAAAAGAAAGTATTACTGCTTCCTTTTTGTGACGTCACTGTTCAATGTCTAGCTTGCTCTTGGGGAGAAAGGTGCAAATGAATAGACAAAGAAAGGAATGAACCCCATTTGGTGATCTGTTTTGTAATAGGATTTGTCTACATGTATAATATCTTTAAGATTAGTTTTATTCTTATTTATGAGTATGTGCATATGTCTGTGTGCATGTATGCACATGTGGGTGTGGGTACCCACAGAAGCCAGAAAAGGGCATTGGACATGCTGGAGCTGGAGTTATAGGTGGTTGTGAGGCATCCAGCATGGATGCTGGGAATTGAACTCTGGTCCTCTGCAGGAGCAGCAGAGCTCTTAACTGCAGAGCCATCTCTCCAGCCCCAACATGTATAATATCTCAAGGAAAGGACGGGTGAATCAAAAATGTTGGGATGTTTTTTAGACTACAACAGAGTGAAAGTAAAAGAATCTATTTTCCCAGGTAATATTTTTAAAGCTTTTAAAAACTGTGTGCTACCCACCCACATACCAACCATCAATATTTTAAATGAGTCTCAGCTAAAAGCTAGCTAAATTGTTCTTAGCACAATAGGCTAACAGCCCTAGAATCATTAAATCAATCAAGTAAATAATATTAATTTAAAGTGCTCCATAATTATATCTTTACTTGATATATAATTATATCCTACTAAGCAAACACATTATTAGAATTTTTTAAAAGCATGTACTCTGTCTAAAGGAGGAAAAACATTAAAGCACAACACCCTCCTCCAAATTATGAATTTTATTAGTGCCAGCTCCTTCTGCAATCTTCTGGGGAGCCACAGTCCACACACTAAGCCTGATCCCAGGTGGTTTGACACTGGAGAATGCCATTTTTCAGCCTGAATGCTCCTGTAGTCACGGAGCATCAGAAAACACCATGCCAATTACAAGGCTGTCAAGATACCACCCAACGGAAGAGGCCAAAACAGCAGCAGAGCTGGGACTGGTACATCCCATCTGCATCTCTCCCTTGGTGGCATGCTAAGCACAGGAGCCAAAGGGTCATCAGAGTCAGACCAGAGCATCCTAGCTAGTGTTATGGAAAACAGAAGTGGTTCAGTGACTACTTGTGACATTCTACTATTACTAACATTAATCTTAGTTGCCAATTGCTGAGTCCTGATTCCAAGTCATACACTGCTAACAAAATATATTTCTTACAATAAGTCCATGGGGGAGGGACTAAGAGCATTTTTGCAGGCTGGAGATATAGTTCAATTGGTAAAGAGCTTGCTTTGCATGCATGAAGTTCCAGATTCATAACCAGCACAAAAAAGGAAAAAAGGAAGGGAGGGAAGGAAGGAAGGAAGGAAGGAAGGAAGGGAGGGAGGGAGGGAGGGAGGAAGGGAGGGAG